GTAAATACAGTTCGCATAAGAAATCGTATAATATTCTAAAATAAATGAGGTGAATAATACATAATTGAGTAAACGGAATAATTCATAGCATTACTGTTACTACAGTATATAAATTGATAAATGCTAATGATTTATTAAGTTTTGTATAGACTTCATATATACATAGATACACATGTCGGAAACATACCAAGATATTGTCCTATTTATTTCAATACTGAGTAACATTAATACCCACTTCATCTAATTACTGGAAATCGATCGTAATGTTCAGATCGACAAACAATTAACCAATTTATTTCAACCAACTTGATGGTTTATATGTGAACAATCTCTTGTTTATCATGATCGTCATATTAATCAATTTTATCGTAATTTCAAATTGAAGCAGAAATTACGGTAGAAATTAGGTTCACTTTGCATAAAATCTCTACATCAGTAGGCATATTACGATTATTTTATAATGAATTTTGTTATTGCACAAAATTAAACACCATCATCAAATAATAATAGAATATCTCACCGTAGGAAAATTTGTCACATCCCTCATCACTTTAGTTTTGACAGCTCCGGGATGTAAACAGACAGCCACCACACCACTATCTTTCAAACGTTCATTCAATTCAATAGCATGTATTATATTTGCCAATTTAGAAGTGCTATATGCATCTATTGCATCATAGGTCTCTTGATCATATTGCAAATCTGGTTTGATAATGCGGCCTCTTTCATGAATCATCGAGGAAACATTTACTATTCGTGATGGTGCAGCATTCTTCAACAATGGTAACAACAATTCTGTCAGTAGAAATGGTCCAAAATAATTCACTCCCATTGTCATTTCAAAACCATCTTCAGTTGTTGTATAGTTCTGTAGTATGAGTCCAGCATTATTGATGAGAAAATCTATTTTATTGTATTTACTTTTGATTCTATCAACAAATTCTCTGATTGATGTTAACGAAGCCAGATCAAGTTGTTCAATGATCAACTGGAATGAAATTGAAAAATGTAAAATGTAGAAAATTAGTTTATAATTTTGCAAACATCAAAATATCCGATAGTTCCAATTAAACTAAGACAATGAAAGCAGATTATCATGAATCAACGACAGTTAGAATCAGAAGATGGTTTGTAGAGTTTTCAGTAATTTCATTAGTTAGAATGTTGATCACACAGTAATCACAGTCATCAAAAAAGTGTTACATAACAACAGAATGTAACGGTATTTGAAACGGATAGAAAATTTATCAAAATTATACTTTCCAAGTGTTATACAAGTAGTTGATTATGTAAAATATATGATTAAGAAAATATGAAATGAATGAAGAAAAGACACTAAGTCTCGCCTGATCTCTGTGTTTAAATTTAGGAAAATAATAATACAATAGCTTATTGCTTCGAATAGTTTAACCTTTGTATTGTAGAACAGATGAAAGATTTAATGGTGTACGATAAATTACTCTACATCTCCATCTGTACTCCATCTTTCAAATTTTAATGTATGTATATATCATAATGATAAAGTGATAAGATATATACTGACTTTATTAAACGTTTTCCTAATTATGAAAGGAGATGATTATTTGGTAATATTCTAGGGAGTGTAATTGCAATTAGTAACTGTACACTCAAGTAGTAGACCCAAGTTAACTATTTTATGGTAGATTGATTGAATTTAGACTTGTACATCATTGAATATCAACTTAATGGTCAAGAGGTTAACCATTCGTGCAAGAAACCGAATGTTCAGGTTGCAATCTTCGTCTGTGATGACTGTCGAGTAGTTCCATAATGAGGTGAAACGGCAGTCCAGTACTAACAATTTTTCAATGATTAATTAACTTGGATTGCTTCGTGAAATCAATGAAGTTTGATTTTTTATTGTTTATGCAACAGCTACCAACAGTCCAGAAAATGATTAAAAACTATTTGCATATAATGATATTTTTCAAGTCGTAAATTTCCTTATTGTCAAATGTCGTTTGTTATGTTATATCTTTAAAATAATTTTAATAGTTGAAATCATGAGTCAATTTAAGCTAGACCACCATTGAAAATCTGGAATCACTGGATAGCCGTTTTGTCCTGGGTTCGAGACCCGCATGCGGTGTAGTGGATGCGCACTGCTGAGGAGTCCTGTCTTAGAACGAAACAGCCGTCCAGTAGTTCCAGGATAACATTGGTGTTTCACTTTAAATCGACAGATGATTTTAACCATTAAAATTACTATGATCTCCACAAACCCCCATTATGATATTCACTGTAATAATATTACAGCGGTTGGTGCTATTCGGTTACTAACTAGTTCGTTGATGCGCAATACTGAGGATTCTAAAGCTATTAGATGATTCCAATGATTAACGAAGACTAATTTTAAATCTATCAACCTCAAGAAAGGGATATAACTTAAGAAGGGTATACTAAAGTCAATGTTAGCATACCTGATCTGACTCGATGGGCTTTAAAGATGACTTCACTGGACTACATGCAATATCTGTTTCGCCACTTTTCTCATTATTCTTACCATACATTTCCAATAGACGTGTTTTAGCTTTGTTGGCTCGTTCAATATTTCTACATGCCATAATGATTGTTGCACCACGACGAGCTAATTCACTGGCTGTATAAAGACCGATTCCAGTGTTACATCCTGTCACAATTGCCATTTTCCCATCCAATCTTTTGTTGATAACACATAATTTTCTCCATAAACCGAGTGTCTCTTTCATTGTGTTTGAATACGGTGGAGTGACTTTGATGTTGAGTCTATGTTTGATATGTGATTATTGAATTACACACGAATTTAAAGTGAATCGGATGTGAACGGAGTGTAACATCTAACCAATCACATTGGTCATATGAAAATGGACGTATACTAACCGTATAAATCTTTTATTTAAAATTTGGCATATTATTATCATTCTTTAGATGAATGATATTAGACTGAGTAATTATGTGTGACCAGATAATTACCTATATCGGAATTCACAAATTTCTCTAAGAGGAGCCAAAAAATTCTCAATAAGAATATTTTCAATTCGCAAGCGAATGTGTGCTCGTATTAGAGCATGATCAGAGTCTAAACATGTACTCCAGAATGAGCGACAGTCTGCTCTCGATCCTCTCCAACGTTGACTGATGAAAATTTAGTCTATTTGAGTCCATCGTCGGTTTGGTGCAGGCGACCAACATATTAGACAATGTCTCTCCTTATACTTGAAATTAATGCTTGCTAAATATAAATGATTGTCTGAGCACAGTTGCAGCAGACGGTCACCATTAAATGTTCGCTGAACCGGAATACTAAAATACCCACACAAATGTCTTTCTGTTTAGTTTAAGCTACCACATTGAGCATTGAAGTGAACTGCTATGAGTACCATGTCTGAGCGTCCAGCTTTTTGAAGTTCACAAAGCCTTCTGTAAAATTCATCTTTAACTTCATCTGGGCTGCAGTCAGTGGAAGCGTATGCAGGAAAGATGAAAATTCGACGACGTGTGACGTGTGAGGAGGAAGTCAAAAGAGGATGTTTAGAGTTGAAAGTCGATGTGAGACGAATAATAGAAATTGAATAGGAAGACTGATTATGAATACAGGGATCATGAGTGTTGTCAGAGGTGTGAATGCGTTTATCACTCTCCGGTTGCCCACATCGTGGAAAGGTTCTTCAATATGTATCAGAAGAGTAAATTGGTAGGGGTGGTCTTAGTGACCTGAGAGTGTGACTGCGATGTCCAACGGACAAATGCTTGAGGACGGTCACTCACAAATATTTTGTGGATGACTTTTGTTTTAGATCCGTACTTGTTGAGAACTTACCGTTCCGAAGACGGATATCCGTGGGGAAATGTGAGGTGTTCATCTTTAGCGCCAACCGTTTCCAACCCCACCACTCCTTGTGAGAAAGCGGCCTCGCTGTTATGCTGGTTGTGAGAGAGAAGCACCTTACTGCCGCCACATATCTGTATAGTCAGCAGTACGACTTTGCCTTCGAACCTTGTGTTTGCTGCTTTTAGTCTTACCGTACTTCAACCCACCTGTCTAGCATGATATCATCTAGGGGAATGACGATTTCAGTTAGTAGAGCTCGGTTGGTCCAACCTGATAAGCAAGCCCAACCACCACGTTAAAGTAGCACCAGTGGTCGGGATTATACGTCCCTAAATATCTCCACATTCAACTCGTAATATAATATCCAAGTTCACTAGACACAATTTCTCATTTCGCGATAAAGAAAAATTATTATTATGATGATGATGAAATTAAGCTTGAAGATTCGGTGAATTCTAATCTTGATTATTTAGTTCATTGTTGAAATATGAGTTCAATGATTGAAGTTTTATCAGACAGATTGTTTTCTTCAACTTCAGTTGAATTCAATTTAGTCTGAAACTATCATTATTCTGAAGCAATTATGTATTCATTTAAGTCACTCATAGAGCATAAATAATTAGTTTATAGAATAGACAAATAACTGAGTCTCTTTAAGGATAGTTAAGCACGTGGAAATCTTTAAAATGTTAAATACTCACAAACAATGTAACAACCATAGTGTGATTTTTCTTATACTATGTAACTAAATTACTTGGATACGGATGCCGGAAAATTAGATTCGAATTTCACATTCTTATACATTATTTGCATAATTTTCTTATATATGAATCAATGCAATTCGGATCACATTTTGTCTGAAACTGTTTACAATGTCTTTATAGAATGGGGTCAAGCTTTAGATATTTGGCAATGTTTATGAAAACTAGTTAGTTTCTGAGAATACAACACTTTACTAAATCGTTCAATATGACGGATTTATATACATATAGTGGATTATTATTTTCAATAATACAGACTATCTTTCATATAATCGTGCTAGCAACACAATCAGAAGAATAATTGGGTACAGAGTTGATGAAATCAAAACATTCATTGAATTAAGGAAAATTTAAGAGAACTCAAATATGGAGAGATACTATCTGTATTCAAATAACAAAATTTGTGACTAACAAGCTTTTAAATTTGGTTTTTTATATGAAGTGAATTTTACTCCTTGAGGACTATTGTTTTTCTGTTGCATGGAACTATTATTGGTACTGTGATTTGATTTATAATAGGATGTTATTGGTTTTAGAGGATTTGTTAGTTTATTTGATGATCCCGGTGTTAATCTTTACATGGAAAACAAAAGGAAATATGTAAAATATTAGAAATGAAGCGGAAGAAATAGGTTAATATTAAGAGTTCGGAGGTAGTTCACAGTAGGGTTCGAGACAATTACTTGATTCTAGTTAGCATTAGTCAGTACAGTGTGTCAGTAATCTCATAGAAACTAGGACTTCCAGTAGGCTGATAACTTGACTCGGTAATTTCAAAGATTTTATTATTTACCAGTTGTATTCACCAATTTACATGTTTGTGTGGACATACATACACAGAGAGGAGTAATCGAGCAGTGCAATCAAGGGTCATTGAACATGTGCCTAGATGGCTTCAAAACCAATTAGTGTCAAATGACCGGATTGCTCAAAATGCATAGTGCAAATACATTACATTTTTTAGATCAACTCCGTCTTCTTATTGTTCTATCGAAATTTATAAGGAGGGCTAATTTGATCGAATAGTTTCACAGTATTTGGGCGCCGAGTTAATGTGAGACATTAAAGGACTCATTGCTTTGAAGATAGTAGCACTGAAATATTTACAGGACAAACAATCTTCTGTACGATTGAGAAATTCACACTAACTAACGACTTAACATCAAACGAAGTGGATTTTAATTTCAACTTATCTGGAGTGATAACTCCAGCACAATCCGATTCACAGAATCCAGTCATCTTAATAGCAATGAATTCTAGACTTTTCAAGAATATCTTGCCAATACTTCATTCATAAAACATCAATAGATATATGGATCGTTGAAGTGTCTGGGTTATTAAATTCATTCTAATATTACAAATAACATGTATTTCGTAATTCGTGATTGTGTTTATTTCCATTGAACAGTGAGAAGTAATCATGAGCATTTTCTTTATCATCTAGTCTATATTCATGTAAATGTGTGATTACGTAATCGCGGGATAGATGTTGCACTTTCACACTCAACTGAAATGAACAAAACTTAATATTATAAATAAAAATAATATATTTGTAATATCCCAATGAGTAGAAAATTAGATTTTCTGAAGTTTCGTGACTTAGTGTAAGTCACTTCTTCAGAGAATAAATAACCAAATTAAAATTAATCCATGTTCAAATAGTACAACGGAACAATGCAAGAATAGTATTTGATCAATCAAAAACAGGTCTGAACAAGTTGATGTCATGTGATTTCTGTCAAGGTGATTCATAATTGATATATATGTAAATTTGTGTGTGTATGTATGTGTGCATTGTTTAATAAACGATGTTTACAAGACAACATCATCCCTAAATCTCTTTTTATAAAACCTCCAGAACTGTCCTGGAGATCCATCCAGACTTCGCAACACGCGTCTCGAATATTTTTACGAGAACGCATTCACAAATGCACACATTTACTAGAAAAATCTCGTGAACGAATCAAAAACCTTGATGATTTACTGAAGCTTTTAATCTCGACCGAATTACAAACCACGATATCCATTTTGTTTATAGAAAGACAACGCCACTATTTAAATTCATCGAAACACCAACAAATTAAAAACTTCGAAAACATCAAAGAAAAGAAGAAAGATAGGAAAACATAAACAATAAAATATAATTCGATTGATCTAAGAAGAACTGTTCATAATCTCTCGAAGAGAAACTTAAACAGTCACGAAATCATTCTACTGGAGAAGGGATTAAATTTCAATTTACATAGAAAACCACTTAGCACTCATGAAATTGATCCAATTATAGAACCAATAATCCCACAACTACCGGAAAAAGAGTCGCATTTACTACGTCAAAAGACACCCCATATTTTGACTAAACAAAAACACATTGCACCAAACATTTCAAAAGAAGAACTGAAGGCTGTGCATTCACTTAAAAAAGACAAAACGATTATTATCACAAAAGCCGACAAAGGCAACACAACAGTAATCATGAATAAAACAGATTATATTAATAAAGCTCTTGAACATCTCTCAACAGGACTTTATGAAAAGATCAATCCAAAAACTTCTCTAACGATTAAGAATAAAGTCAAATTAGAAACAAGTCAACTTCTGAACGAGCTAAAACCAACCATTGAGGTCTCGCTTTGGTTTGCTTTGCATACCAAATCATGTAATGTCTCACGGTTTTATGGCTTACCAAAAATTCATAAACCAAATATTCCTCTAAAACCGATAGTAGACTTCACAAACACCCCAACATATGCATTATCAAAATATTTAAGTAATATATTAAAACCACTACAGCTCAACCTACATAATATAATTAAAGACACATATGACTTGAAATCAAAATTATCCGGATTAGTCATCGAGAAGAATGAAATCATGGTAAGCTTTGATGTCGTTTCTTTATACACAAGTGTTCCCATTGATAAATGCTTAGAATTCATTAGTGGTTTACTTGAGAACGACAATACTCTTCCTGACAGATGCCCGTTGAGCATCAGTCTAATCATGAAATCTTTAAAACTTTGCTTAAATTCAACGCTATTTACTTTTAACGGTATGTTATTCAAACAAACTAACGGTGTAGCAATGGGATCCCCCGTGTCCCCGATTGTAGCCAACCTTTTTATGGCATACATAGAATCAAATATCTTCGCCCACAACATTATATCACGAATTTGGCTTAGATATGTAGACGATACATTTTTTGTTATAAAAAAGACTCATCTAAGATCTTTTTCTAAACGAATAAATACACTTTTATCACACATCAAATTCACAAATGAAAATGAAAATGTACATGGTGAGCTACCATTCTTGGATTGCTTAGTAAAAAGAAATCCAAATGGAAGTCTAAACCTATCCATCCACCGAAAGCCGACGCACTCAAAGCGTTATATTGACTTCCATTCAGCACATCCTTTCAGTGCTAAGATCTCGCTAGCCTTAAATCTTTTTAGAAGAGCTGACAAGATCATCACATCAGAGGAAGACAAACAAAAAGAACAAATGAATGTAATCAGCATCTTACAATTTAATAATTTTCCTATGAAGATTATTAGAAGCATATTAAAACAAAACAGTTTATTACGTTATAATAATGATTCGAATGAAATGCCATGGATCGGTACTGCAGTTCTACTATACCGTCATGGCACAACAGAAGAAATCCAAAGAATCTTAAAACATCACAGAATTTAAAGTATATTACGAAACAACGAACACACTACGTAATACTTTAGTTCGCCTGAAAGAAAAAATCCCTTTCATGTCCACACAGAACTGCGTCTACAAATTAGGTTGTATTGATCGTGATGCCTATTATATTGGAGAGTCATCCCGCGAAATCTTGATTAGAGCCAAAGAACATATTAGGTACACAAAGAAACCTCCTAACAATCCTGTAGAATTGAACCAACTTCAAATTAGATCGGCAATAGCAGTTCATGCCATTTTCAACAACCACCAAATCGATTTTAAAAATATCAAAATATTGTAAAAAGGCTTTTCCAACTACAAAGAAAAGAGGGTAGCTGAGGCGTTCCATATAATGCTTAATCGTACTTCTCTCAACAGAAAAGAAGACCTTAGCATACATCCTACTTGGACCATCTATCCTAGCCATTCAGTCTGATCGTATTTACAATTTCACACCATCATATTACAAATTTAAACTCGATCCTTTCTTACCATAAAGGTCACACAAGTTTTCATTCTTAAACAATGCACACATACATACACACACAAATTTACATACATATCACTTATGAATCACCTTGACAGAAATGACATGATATCAACTTGTTCAGACCTGTTTTTGATTGATCAAATATTATTCTTGCATTGTTCCGTTGTACTATTTAAACTTGGAATAATTTTAATTTGGTTATTTATTCTCTGAAGAAGTGACTTACACTAAGTCACGAAACGTCAGAAAATCTAATTTTCTACTCATTGGGATATTACAAATATATTAATTTTAATTATAACAATCAACCCAATGCTCAATTTATTCGAAATTATCAAATCAAACCTTGATAATGATACCTAAAAACTTAATATTTATTATCATAAATTTGTTTTATATTAGTGATAGTTATTTGTCTGTAATTCCAAAAATGATAAGAATTCGGAGTATTTCCAACTTAGGAACACTAAACATCACTATCCTGCCCTCGTTAGAACAAATCAACTCCATTTCAGAGATATTTTCAACTACCATTTAATTTCGATAAAATGATAGTTGAACATAATGTCCTTTTTACAATTGTAATAAGAGAGAGGTGTTTGTGGATATTATAGTTCTAATCTCGCGATGTGGGATCGTGGATGCGCACTGCTGAAGACTCTCAAACTAGGACGATAAGACCGCCCAGTGCTTACAGCTTTTCCATGGTGGCCTAGATTCAAATGACTCATGAATTCAACTATTCAATTTGTATAATTAACGGAAATCAAAACGATTATTTAGCACGATTTACAATACTACTTAATTACGCATTGAAGTAAATACAAATCGTGCTTACTGTTGAGATTTATTAATTTCAGCTGCAACAATATTTAAATCTTCCGTTTCTGAATCCCATTCATCATCCTCACTGCTCGGCACAACTGATAAATTACTAGTAGTATTAGTAGTATTTGGTTTTGTACCAAATGTCACAACTCGTTGATCATGACTGAAATGAATCTCAGGTGAATTAGATGTGATTTGTTTTTGTTGAATAGTACCTTTGTTATTATTATAATTATTATTATCATTATTATTGTTATTATTATTGTTATGTAGACAGTTGGGATATTTTTGAGAAGTCATTTGTAATTGTGATTCATTTGTAGGATTCTGTTTAGACATGGTTGGTGCTAATTTACTTCCAAAATTACTTTCTTCTGAAACAAATTGAAGTTGAGGACTTGATCTTTGTAAACGTGGTCTAAGTGAAGAGAAATAACATAATTTTACTCTTCATTCGTTCAAGCAACAAAATGATTGATGAGACAAACATTTCCATGGCGTTAGTTTTCTTAGTTTAGTTGACTTGCATTGATGTATTCTGATCATTTGTAACACGGTTATAGTTTAATTTGACTATTGGTCATCATGTTTGTTACATCCGAACGAAGAATAAATGAATGGTGACTGTTAGGAATTATTTGTGGAGCATTAATACATATATCCTTATTGGATAACTATCAAGTAACTAAATCATATGTATATTCATATTCGTTTTGTTATAAACTTCCATTTGACCTATTGACTACTGTTATACGATTTGCCATTCTTAACTTATTCCCAATTTATTAGTAAAGTAACACTTTCTCACACTCACAATTACTTGTGACTTGATTTTGTATGATCGTTATTTTTCATGTTATGGTGTTATTCGGCCTGGTCTGCTTGTATATAAACGACGTTTATCAAAGATATACGAATAATATAGTGGAAGCTGTCGAGCTTGATCTGCGACCTCATAGTCTTTACCCTTCCATTACATAGGTTTTTAGATGCTTTATCAATTCGTGGGGCAGGTGATACAATAATTAAGAATTTGGTCTGACAATCTTCTCTGAATTGATTGGAGAGTGCTTGACATTCAAACTATTTACCTTCACTTGTCATATTCATCTTCTTTGCTAATATGTTATTTTTTGCAAAATACTATTATTTTGGTTAACGGTCTTATCTTTGTTTTCAAATTACCCATGGACTCGAGTTAATAATGCGGTCTAGTGAGCTGTGATCAGTCGATTACTTCTTGATTAATTGCATAATGTTGATCGATCAGTATTCTACTCAATAAATTTGATAGTTAAACGTTCATTCATTAGCCAACAGAATTAACAATTCACAAAATATACCGTATACTGATATAACGAAGATTCACCTACTACACTCCTACTGTAAGTGATTTAACATTTCACACTTCTGCAGATATCAGATTCTCTGATAGTTTAGACTAAGTAAAATTAATGAATCTAAGTTCTGAGAGCAAGTATGTACTAACGGCATGCAAAGTATTTGAGAAGTACACGGTTTTCAATGGAAAGCCATCATGTCAAGCATTTCTATACACACATAACAGAACGAAGGATTTAGTAAGGATTCGCAATGAACATATCCAAACTAACTGTCTCAGAAGCTGCATCTCGGTGTAAACGATTTTCGAAATGGGTGCTAACAAATCAGAAACTAATTGTAAAATTGTCCGATGCAACAAGTCTCAAATTGACGTATATTTTTAATCTTCAGTCACACAAAGGTTTACGCACAAAGATTCAATACAAACTTCCTTCGAGATACTGACAGACTCAATGAATTCAAGATAGCTCTCAACAACAGGTTTCAAGCCTTACAAGAAGAAGAAACTACTATGGAGGACAACTGGAAAGGTATCAAAGAAGCATTAACTTCAACGTGTCAAGAGGTTCTGGGTCCAAAGAAATACCATCATAAGGAGTGGATCTCTACAGAAACACTGGACAAGATCAAAGAAAGGAAGAACAAGAAGACAGCAATTGACAACAGCGGAACACGAGCAGAGAAAGTTCAAGCACAAGCTGAATACACAGAAGCTAACAAGCAAGTGAAGAAGAGCATTAGAAACGACAAGAAGAAGTACGTGGAAGAACAAGCAACGACGGCGGAAAAGGCTGATAGAGAAGGAAATATGAAACAACTTTACGATACAAGAAGAAATCAGGGAAATACAGCAAAGCAGAGAGACCGGTCAAAGACAAAGAAGGCAGGCCAATCACCGAAATTCAACAAAAGTGGAAGAGATTGGTAGAATACTTCGAGGAACTCCTGAGTAGGCCGACTCCAACGAATCCACCGGACATCGAAGCAGCACACACAGATCTTCCCATAGACGTCAACCCACCAGCAAAGGAAGAAATCAGAATGACCAGTCATCAGACAAATCAAGAGCGGGAAAGCAGCATGACCCAACAACATACCAGCTGAAGCACTGAAATCAGACATCGAAGCAACCACAAGCATGCTTTATCTTCTATTCAAAAAGATTTGGGAGGAGGAACAAGTGCCGATGGACTGGAAAGAAGGACACCTCATCAAGATTCCAAAGAAAGAAGATCTGAGCAAATGTGAAAACTACAGAGGCATTGCACTACTGTCAATACCAGGAAAAATTTTTAACAGGGTGTTGCTGAACCGGATGAAAGATGCAGTAGACGCCCAACTTCGAGATAAACAAGCTGGATTCCGTAAGGATCGATCGTGCACAGACCAAATTGCGACACTACGGATCATCGTCAAACAATCAGTTGAGTGGAACTCAACACTGTACATCAACTTCATTGATTATGAAAAGGCATTTGACAGTGTAGATAGGAGGACATTATGGAAACTTCTTCGACACTACGGAGTTCCTGGGAAGATTGTCAATATTATCCGGAACTCATACGACGAACTACAGTGCATCGTCGTGCATGGAGGACAGCTGACAGAAGCATTCCAAGTAAGGACCGGAGTCAGACAAGGCTGTCTACTCTCTCCCTTCCTCTTTCTTCTGAAGGTCGACTGGTTTAAGAAGACCTCGACATCTGAAGGAAAACACGGAATACAATGGACAGCTCAGAATCAATTAGACGATTTGGACTTCGCAGATGTCCTAACCCTCCTATCGCATACACACGAACAGATGCAGATAAAGACAACCAGTCTAGCATCAGTCTCTGCATCATTAGGCCTCAACATACACAAGAGGAAAGCCAAGGTCCTCAAATACAACACGGAGAACAGCAATCCAATTACTCTTGATGGCGAAACTCTGGAAGATGTAGAGTCCTTCACATACCTAGGAAGCATCATCGATGAACGTGGAGGATCCGATGCAGACGTAAAGACGAGGATCGGCAAAGCAAGGGTCGCATTCCTACAATTGAATAACACATGGAACTCAAAATAACTGTCTGTCAACCAATATCAAAGTGAGAATCTTCAATACGAATGTCAAGGCAGTCAGTTCTACTGTATGGAGCTGAAACTTGGAGAATTACAACAACCACAATCAAGAAGGTACAAGTATTTATAAATAGCTGTCTACACAGGATACTCAACATCCATTGGTCGGATACCATCTGCAACAGCCTTTTATGGGAGAGAACACGCCAGCTTCCAGCTGAAGAGGAAATTAGGAAAAGACGATGGAAATGGATAGGACATACATTACACAAATCATCAAACTGCATCACGAGGCAAGCCCTAACTTGGAATCGTGAAGGGAAGCGGAAAAGAGGAAGGCCAAAGAACACATTACGTCGGATAATAGAAGCATATATGAAAACGATGAATAACAACTGGAAGGAGCTAGAAAGGATTGCCCAGGACAGGGTTGGTTGGAGAATGTTGGTGAGCGGCCTATGCTCCTTCACGAGGAGTAACAGGCGTAAGTAGGTAAGTAACACAAAATTTTAGAAGTAGCCCCAGTATTAGATCGGTCTCTTCACTGCTGAATGAAGCTCAATGAATGCTTCCACCAACAGGAAATGGTCACTGACTGAACATGTTCATCAAACTCAACCTCGTCTACTTATTTTTAAGTAAATTCGTGTTTTCAAAATAACTTTTGACTTCGTTTTTCTGCCTGTACGACTAGCTCCAACAGTCCGAATTGTCAGTGTCATCATCTGTACACAGGAGAACGGAAATTTCTTCACGAAATCCAACGAGTTGTCTGCATAAATAATACAGTTGAAAATGTACTTCAGTCCATGATTTTGATAAGTGACTAAATATTTAACCGTAACATCAATGATTGTTTGGTTACATATGTAGTTCTGGAGTTGTCGTTCTCATCGTCTCACTGTCCAACTACTCAACTCGTACATGATTGCTTTCTCACCAACAAGGAGTATTCAGCTAGCGCAGATCTATTCGATGAAGATACTAACAATTTGCAGAGTACGTAGAACAGCAGGAGATTACTGTACTACTGCAATTTCTGTTTTACTTAATGGGTGTGAATCAGTATGTGAATGTGCAATACATGCACAGATCATAAATGCTGGATAAGTGACGAGTCCAGATGATTGGCTGTATAGTGAGAAATACTGAGTTTAGGCCCAGTGTTGCGGAATAATGTCGAAAGCGATTTGGAAATTAGGCAAATTAACCTGAGGTGGTTGGTAAACGTGTTAAACATGACCAAAATAACTCTACATATCACGGATAACTGTGTCGTAGTTAACGTGATCTGAAGTATCAATTTGCTTTTTTTTCAAGTGTGAGGTTTAATCTAGTTCAGTCAACAGTATTCTTCTTCACTTCTGCAGTTCTCGATCGTTCTTCGCTTCGTGAAGTTCAATAAACTGATCGGTAAGACGCCTCCGAATTTCCTCAGCGTCCTTATATTTGTTCTTATACAACCTCGATCTTTACATCACGTCAGTTCAAAGGTAGATTTCAGTCAAATGTTCCAGCCATATTTCTTCCACTATTTGTCTCATCAATTTCACTGACAATGCTGAAGCTTTCAATTCAAGGCGTGGAACAAGAACAAGTTTTAGAGGAACTATTCTGTATTTGCCCAGGATGAAACATCTCGTTGTACTTGCGTGATCTCATATAGGCTACGGCTTCATCGCCGCTTTCTGAGGCATCAGATATCGATCTTTTAATAAGAGGCTAGATACATAAACATGGTAATATCCTCAAGGCTTTAACACCTGCAATTTCTTACAATTAAGTTTCCATACTCGAACTCAAACCGTCATCACATCCGCAGTTTTTACGACACAGCCGTTGCGTTTCCCGCATCCATAAGTGGAATAAGAGGGCTTCTCGTAATAGTAGCGTAAAAAATAACTACAACATACGATAATGCAAACGACAGCTGTTAGCAGTGTCCAAACTTGGTAACAGTTTATCAACAAACAAATACTGAACCAAGGACAAACAATATGGAAACCATTGCATTTACACAAGGGTTAAATGAGTGCATAAAAATGCGAATAACTGCTACAATAATTGAGATCAATTAATTATAATGATAAATACAAAATTAAAGTAAATGTTAACATTTTGGGATATTACACGACAAAAATGAGTACGTTTAGAAATCGCTAGGAATACAACTATTTATTGAATATTGAAAAGTAGTATAAAACAATACACAAAAGAGTTGAAGGAATGTGAGTGAGGACAGAGAACGTAAAATAGACTTAGCAATAATGTCATAATTTATGTCGTAGTTACTTTTAGGTCTACGTAGTTCCTGTTCCCATGTTTGTTTTAGATTTAATGGAACTCAACTGAAGTTGAAGAAAACAATCTGTGTGATAAATCTTCAATCATTAAACTCATATTTCAACAGTCAACAAAATAATTCACCGAACTTTCAAGTTTAATTTCATCATCCAAATATTTCTTTATCGTTAAGAGCAAAATTAAGTTTAGTGAACTTAATTTTATTCAATGGTGTGTGGATTTCACATGCATTCTAGTCGTCAGTTCAATTACCAATGTGGTCTCTGTGGCCAGATCTGATGGTGCCTACGATGAATTCGATTCAGATGACTGATTTGTTAATGAGGTTTTATAAGTACAGTTTCACTCTCTGACCAAAATAATTCTGTGTTGGTTTGTGAGACAGTGGTTCCATATTGCATCAATCTGTGGATGTAATGACTGTTGATCGGAGCTGTCTTGGATGGGGTTGACTTATTGAATGGGGTCAATACAACAATCGTACTGGATTCTGAGTGACCCAAGATTACTTGAATAGAAGTTGGTTGTTGTGTGGCAGATCGTTCACCTGATAGTGATTTTCCGTATGATTTAATATTTATCATCACTCGACCCCGTGTTATGTATTTCCTGCATTTTTTTGTGGTTTTGTCATGTCGACGCGTTTGATTGTGGCCTTTCTGTGATTCACTTTGCTCTGTGTGTGCAGTATTATGTCTGTACTAGTCTCTTCGTTGATACCCATCTATCTGGTGACTGAATGATAAACATTTCGTCAGTATTCTCATTACTCTCGATTTGCCTTCACAACTTAATAATAGTGACTGGTGATCACTGTTTCATCAATATTTAGCCACAATTCATCTAAGGACTTTGGTCATAAACAAATAGTGACCAAGTATACATGATCAATTCTAGAGAAAATGGGGAGGTAGATTT